GGGGGGGGCGGGGGCTGGTAGTCAGTGAGGCAGAGCATGTAATACTGAGTAAGATCAGTGAAGTCTGTGCCTTGAACACTCCTTTTTCCTTATCCATATTTGTTCATTTTCACCTGAATTGTAACAGGATCAGTGTATGAGTTCTAGCAGTTGTCCAACATCACCCATCTCCTCTGTGCACCTGTCTGCTGGACGATTAGATTACAGCTTTTTTCCGCTCTGTTGCTTAGTGCATGATAATAGACATTTCATCATCCCATCACATTAAAACATAGGAAGAGATGCGCTGGGCCAGATAATAGGTTCAACCAGCCTAATTCCAACACTGGACAATCCCAAACGCTTAAGGACAGGCAGCAGAAGGAACAGGATGAGTATTCAGCATTGCAGCAAAGTGGTCGTTCTTTCGTCTCTAGAAGCTGGCTGTGGATGGAGTCCATACAGTAGCAGTTATAGAGGGTCACTGTTTTAACAGCCCCCAATGGCTCCAGCCTCCCTCAAGGGCTATGGGGGACCTGTAGCATCACATCCTATAGTGCTGGTGAGTCACCTAAGCTGTGAAGGAGCCCACTTCCCCACTCTGCATTGTGTTCAGACCAGCCCTTTACCCATGTAACATCCCACTCCCGTGGTTAATGCAATATCCTGTCCTCCCCAAAAACTCAGTCCTACTTCAGACAATAGCATGCCAACCTAGGGAAACTGTTCCTATCGGACATGTAGACAGAAGTCTTCACCAGACGAGTGGTTTAGGACTGGAGCATTCATCCAGAGCTCATTCAGAAAGAGACTTTCTCATACAAGTTAAACTGTCCCACAGAGGAAACGGCTCTATCCTCTCACCAGGAATTATGCTGCAGCAGTAGGGGCCGTATAACACACACTGTCCTAGGATATGCCACGAAAAATGATTTCTAGTTTATTTATGGAGGAAATCCTAACTGAGCACTGCTGATGCACCCACTTGGTTGGAGATGTGTCTGAAACCATAATCTCTGGGAAAGGAAGAAGAGAGATGTAAAGCAGGCAGCAGCAGCTTCATTGCTTGGGAGCCTTGGCCCCAAATTGGCAGGGACCTGTGTGGGGACTCAGCAGGGAGCAGCAACCCCCCCGAGAGCAATAAGCTGTTTGAACAGCACACGATGTACTCTGGGTTAGCAGGAGTTTGCATAACCATGCAAAGCCCTCGCGCCTGGGACCTTCTAAAGAAATGCCACATTTATCAGTATCTAAAGCAGAAGAACATCCCACCTACCCTTCCCCAACCCCATAGAACAGTGTCATTAGTGAAGTCATCACGTCATTTGTTTCTTTAAGGGTTAAAAAAATAATCCACAGCCACTGCCAGGAAGAGGCAGGACTAAACAGGCAGCAAAGAGTTAGAGCCAGAACACAGATAGAAAGCTAAATCAATCATCAAAACGGACCGCAGCGAGAGCATATACATACAGAGCAAGAAAGAAAGCGAGAGGCGCTTTGTTTGGGTAGCTGGTGTTCTCTGGACAAGGAGAGAGAAATTTTCCTTTGGGTTTTTAATGCCACTCTAAATATTTATAGCAAGATCGTAGCCAGCTGGTGAGGCAGCAGCGGTGGGGAGCAGGGAAGGGAGGGCACATTTTCCCCAGCACCCCAACATCATCCTCTGGGTTGTCTCTTCACTTAAAGAGAGGGAAAAGGCTGCACATCACCAGGTTTACCCTCAAAGAGTCATCTGCAAGAGTCAAGTCCAGTGGCTTCTGCCCTTCCCCTCCCGCACCTCCTTTGGCCATTATCACACACACACACAGACTGTGCAGGAAGGGAAGATGCCACAACCTCCAAAACGCTGCTCCAGCCCGAATCCACTCTGCCTTTAACGCGGGTCTGGGCCTTCAGGGTTTTGCCCAGCAACATTTCACCATGTTGCTGTGCTGCATTGAAAAGTCCCTGGGAAAGGCCACGCATGGCATGACCTGTGATGCAAAGCTGCTGTTTTTAGAGGAACAGACTTCCCCCATCCCCTCAGCCTGCTGGGCCACGGATGTGGGAGCAGGAACGTATGGAGGACTGCAAACACCAGTGTGGCACGGGAGTTGACATAAGGGCACTGTGGCTCCCAGGGATTTTCGCTCATCTGCCTCGCTGCGACTAGACGCAGACATGACTCACCCGCGAGCTTTGGCTTTGAAAATATGAGAAGGACTTGTGCTTTAACCTTGTGTTTCCCTGTGCTAGCGATGCTCAGAAACAGCCTTTTGGATTCAATCCCAAGGGAGGAATTTCAGCACAGAGGAGGGGCCCAGAACAGTTACCCGGACACGGGCAACCAATGCCATTTCTCTTGAAACACCCAGGAAACTGACACATCGCACTGGACCTGGACCTGCTGAAGACCCCAGCCAGGAGCCAGCTGGGGTTGGGGGGGATCTTCCACTGGCACAAGGTTCTCCACTGATCCCACCCTAGGGACGGATTTAGGCTCCTCATAGCAGATACCTACATGCGAGTGTTAAGTATGGACACCTACCTGTGATTGAGGCAGCTGAGCACCTGAGGAGACCCAGCAGTGCCTGGACGACTGTAGGCTGTTCACCTGCCCAGGTATAGGTGGTACTTACTGGTGACCTGAATAATGCATCAGACTTGGTTGTATTGACTAAACCTCAGTAGCTGCAAAAGGAACTCAGACACCTTGTTCATGTGCAGGCGCCGGCAGTTGGGGACCCCACTGAGGTGTCTGCCCTGGGGAGCTAAGTGCCACCCTGGGACCTGGTTTCCAGCTTGCTGCACTCACTTCAGCAGCCTGCTTCAGTCCTCTCACCCCTAATGCTGAGCTTCCTCAAGCCACCTGCTTGAGAAGTTCTTTGCTGAGGTTTTCAGAGAGCTGGGGTCCTTACAGAAAAGCCACAACCTGATAATTTCTATATGAAATATCAAGCATCATCATAAACATAAACTGCTCCATGGCTGAACTTGACTCTGCTTGGTAGAGGCAGCTGGGCTCTCCCTGCCCACCTTGGGGCAGCCCTGGGCATACAGGACCCAGTGCATCAGCATCTCCCACCAGACTGCAACGGGATGACGCTCCCCAGATCTCCCCATAAGGTGGAGACACGATCCATACCACCGGGATTCCTGGAAGCCCTCCTCTCTCCCTCTTTCTCCATGAAGCTATGGTGACAGTCATTACCTAGCGCAAGGCATTGCAGACTGTTTACAGCCTTCTAGAGTTCCCAGGCACTTTAGGACAGGGTCCTGCTGCTGTTTCCAAATGGACAGCCAGGACTTTTATAAGTGAACTTTCCTCTCTGTGTCTATTTATTAGATGTAAACATTTGCCAGAAAAACACCACTCGGGCATGCTCAGTCCTGGCCAGGTCATTGCAAAAGGGAACGCGGCGTCACATGTGAGAACAGCGAGAAGCCCGTGTCCCTATTCTTAGCGCTGGAATGTATACAATGCCCCACCGCCGCGCCGCTCCTGCGCACAGCTCCCGGGAGCGGCAAAAGTGACTGCAGAGTAAACACGGCCAGAAATCACCCACTATGAATCACTTACCTACTGAAAGAAACGTCCTGTGGGTTTATAGGCTTTTATCCAGGCTCTAGCTATGGAAAATCTCAGCAGAGAATAAACGACAGAAAGTAAGTGCATGCAGTGAAGGACAAGAGAAGGTAAACGCTTCTACCTTACCGTTGCACTGCAGGTTGAGCAGTTAGCCATGACAATAGATACTCATCCTATTGTTCTGCTGGCACTTAATTTAGTCATTGCGTGTCTTGATTAACATAAAAACCCCACAGCTAAGCAGAGTTAATAAATAACTGCTTTAATGAAGATTCCCGTCTCTAGGGTTTCGTTTTCCCTGCTGCAGAGTTCGGCTCTGCCAGATTTACATTCTTTGGGAGTGACTAATTCTAGGGGAAAGAGGCACAAGCTACTAAACTGCTAATACTTAAAAATAGTGAATAAATGTCTAGGCACATTTATTCATTGTGATTAAAACGAATAAACCAATTGCTTCAGCCATCCAGCTTTAATCCCAAATCAGTGAGATAACTTCAGTGCTTTTGTTTCTTGCCAGGGACACAGGCAGCGCTGACCTCAGAGCTGCAACCTAGCTGATAACTTCATGAGAATATTAAAGGGTCTAGTGATCTTTTTGCTTCTTTATGGTTTTCCCACTGTGCTTAACCCATGTTTCGTTTTTATGCATAACAGTGAATGGGTATTTAGAGCAACATCAAAGTCCTGATTTGTTCCCTTGAAGTTGGATATTTCAATAAAAACTGCTAAAAATTTTGAGGTGTTTTTCTGCCAAGTCCTATTTTGCTATGGACGAAGGATCCACTGAGGAGATTCTCTTCAAAGACCAGGACTTCTCCTCTGAACTGTTGAGGCAGCTGAATGCTCTGCGGCAGAGCAGGATGCTGACTGATGTTACCCTCTGCTCTGGGGGCTTTGAAATCCCCTGCCACCGAAACGTGCTGGCTTCCAGCAGTCCATACTTCAAGGCGATGTTCTGTAACAACTTCAGAGAGAGTCGCCAGGCTAAAGTCATCCTGAAGGGCATCAACGCCGAGATTTTGGATCAGATCATCCTTTACATTTACACAGGGGAGATTCTTATATCCGCTGAGAATGTCCTGTGCCTGTTGGAGACAGCCTCCATGCTGCAGTATGCTAAGCTGTTCGAGGCCTGCTCTGCCTACCTGCAGGACAAGCTGACTCCTGACAACTGTCTGAGCATGTTCAGACTAGCAAAAGTCTTGAACTGCCAAAGTCTGACTAAGAAAGCCAAGGCTATGGCCTTGAAATGCTTTCCTGAGGTGGCCTCCTCTGACGACCTGAAGGAGCTTTGTCCATTGGAGCTCATTGATTACCTTGGGGATGATGAGCTCTGCGGAGAGGAGGAGCAGGTCTTTGAGACACTGATGGTCTGGATCCGGCATGACCTCCAGGCAAGACAAGGCTACATCCAAGAGTTGTTCAAGAAGGTCCGGCTTCAGTACGTCCATCCAACTTTTTTCTTCCACTTCATTGCCAATGACTCCCTTGTTCAGTCCTCACCCACTTGCAGGAGCATCCTTGAGTCAGCTTGGAGACATATGTTTTCCTTGTACAGCACCAACGCACCGGACATCAAGCCCATGCTGCATGTCCCTCGCAGGTACTCCAACCAAGAGTTCCTCATCATCATTGGTGGCAGGAAGGACAGCCAGCAGACAACAAGGGAAGTCCTGCTCTATGATGACAAGACAAGCCAATGGCTAAGCCTGGCCAAACTTCCCATGCGCCTGTACAAAGCCTCTGCAGTGAGCTTGCACAGCAATATTTATGTGCTTGGAGGGATGCCTGTTAACAATAAGAAAAGCCCGGTCAGTGGTAATATTTACATTTACTCCCTCAAACTCAACCAGTGGAGGTTGGTTGAGCACATGTTAGTTCCACGTTACTCCCACAGAAGCTTGGCTTATAAAAATTACATTTTATCATTTGGTGGAATTGGCGAAAACCAGGAAATCCTGAATTATGTGGAAAGATACGACAGCGTCTACAACACCAGTGAGAGCATGGCAAACATGCCTGTTGCTGTCCTTCACCCTGCTGTTGCTGCCAAAGATCAGAGGGTCTACCTCTTTGGGGGAGAAGACATTATGCAAAACCCTGTCCGGCTGATCCAGGTAATGGTCAGTCCTGCTTGTCATAGGCAGTTCCAGTTAAGGTATGCAGCAGGTCGTTACCATCGTGAGGAAATCAACCCCCCAGAAACACTTTATTGTGAGTTGCAGCCACAGGCAGGATGAGTTGACACGTGGCTTCAGGGAAGTCTTGTCCACAAGGAGCATTGCAAGCCTCTGAATGTTTTTCAGGCACAAGCCCCAAGACACTTCTTTGGGTGTCAGTCACCTCTGCCACTAGTGGGCAATGGGGCCAGGGCTGCTGCAGGTGATGCTATGACAGGCAGCAGCCAGCCCCACTGCTTGGCTTCATGCCTGTAGCCAATCTCACCTAAATCAGTGCTTTCCACTTGGCAGCTGAGATGGGTCTCAGCCACACATCTGCTCGCTCACAGCAAAACAAAGATCCACGGTTGTTACAGCGATTAGATTCTCACTTATCAAAGGGCCAGGACTTATCCTGACAGTTATTTCATATAAACAGTTGTGTTAAAAATGTGACTCCTGCCACATGTCGCTGGCTCGCTGCCTGCTTTCAGGGCTTACACTCTATTAGGAGGAAAAAATACATGAAATCCTTTCTTATCTGATCTGATGCTTTAGCAACGTTGTAGAGTTACTTTCCCCATGTGGGTTTTTCACTGGTTTAGGTGGTTTAACTAAGAAAGATCATGAAAGTCAGACAGCACATGAGCAATAGTTTTTGGTGGTGATAATGCATCTTGATTATCAGGGGGAAGGAAATATCTATCAGTTAGTAGGGAGATGTCCTGGAGATATTTGCTATATTAAGAAGCAGATGACGTGACATAGAAGTTTGTGTCTCCCAGATATGGGTGACTGAATGATCATCATCTGGCAACAGCTCTTTTTCTCACATAAATTGATGACTTAGATACTACTCTAAGTCTCATTAACAAGTCGCTTTGCCAATCTCAGTGCATACCAGCCACCAGCACAAATATAGCAACTGGGCAAACCCTGTGGCTGCCAGCTGAGCTAGGTGAAGTTGAGGTTTGCTTGCCCAGGAAATCGCTAAGGCAGCAATACACAGAATAACTGGGAAGTTAAGTTAGACACCTTGCACATTGGAAAAGCATTATCAAGGTCTTAGAGTGATTTAATGGCCATGCAAATATTTACAGGTGAGAAGCTTGCATATTGCAGATACACTCTGCCTTCGTGCATGTGCTAGCAACCCTTGAGCCCACAAGCCTGGAAAACTACACCACTTTCCAAGGGGACATATTAGGAAAGGAAGTGGATAAATTCTCGGCTTAAGCCAGGGGATTGCATTAATTAGGACAAAATACAACCCATAAGTTCCTCTGTAATTACAATTGTCAGTTAAAATGCAACATAAACAGCTGTGTGTGTGTCTTCATTTATTTGTCAGGTTTATCATGTCTCCAGGAATACGTGGTTTCGGATGGAAACCAGAGTGGTGAAGAATGTCTGTGCACCAGCTGTCATGATTGGAGACAAGATTATCATCGTAGGTGGTAAGGGCTCTGTTTCACCCTCTCTCCTCTCTCCCTCTGCCCAGCTCCTGCTGGGTCTTGCAGCTTCTCATGGGGTCTCATGGCCATGGAAGTGGGGACAAGTTCTCCACAAGGCATGTTCTTACTCCAAGTGATGGGGAGAAACTGAGGAGAAGCCAATGCAAGTTACTGCTCTGCAGAAGATGGGAAGAAGCCAAGGGCATGGGGGTCCTGCTCCTTCCCTGGTGACTCACAGCCCGGCCCTGCCTCACTGCTCTTCTTGGAAGGGTGGAGAGCACAGTTACCACAAGGCCATGGACAGCTTGTTGTGATGAGTGTGCTGCAGGGCTCTGAGGGGTCAATTAGTCCTGCAGCTGCCTGCCGGGGGTAACTGTGAAATGTCCTGAGAGGGGTGTGAAACACTTGCAGCAGAGGGGAAAGTTCTCAGTGTCTTTTTCAACCTGAGGATCAGCTTCTGCCCGTGGCACTTAGATGAATCGGTGTCATTGGTAGCTCAGCACTCTACCGTCCTTACTGCATCTCCCCTGACCTCAGGCTGGCATGAGGAAGCGTGTGTCAGATTATTTAAGGGAGAATTAGACATAGGGAAGGTTTAGCAGAGCAGAGAACTGAACCCAAATGACACAGGACTCAAACGGGGTGTCATCTCTCAGTGGGAGGCCACTGCTACCCTTTGCAGTGAGAATAAGGGACAGCTGGGTCAAAAGGTCCAAGACTAGCAAGATCCTGTGTGTTAGATTACCCTGACCTCAGACCAGAGTGCCCAAAATACAGTATTTCCAACTCTCTTATCTTCAGATGCATTAATATCAAGAGTATGTATTGACACAAGCCTCCTGCTGCTAAGCTTAAGATCTTGATTTATTTTGTATTTATCTAACAAAAGCCACAGAAATTCATGATAATTTTAAACATCTTTCATTTTGCTTGAAAGTAGAGTGATTCACCATGGTCAGCTTTTATTTACCAAACTCTATGCCAAAACATTGGCCAAACACTCTTAGTTTATCAACAGTAAATCCCACAAAAATAACATTTTGTCTTAAAAACTGCTTTCATCACATTTCAGGTCCTCTTTGAATGACTGGTCACATCATAACAAAGGGAAGTGGGTTGGCCTAAGCAAAAGAGGCCTTGATTTTTTGTTATGGGACATGGCTACAAGTCCCACAAAACATGGGTCAAAGCAGGTTGTTTGCCATGGGCGCTCTTGATTATCTACAGGGATACATGGGCAAGATGCTGGTGGATACCAAGCTTCCACACCCACGTTGCTCCAGGGCAACAGACATGGTACCAGCCCTTACCTCTCAGCAGACGCAAGGTTACCTCACCCCTTGATGGAAGAGCTGTCCATTGGGTCACTGCGGTGGTAGCCAGCATGGATGTGGCATTGAGGGCTTTGAGAGTGGAGCGAGCACCAGTGCACTGCGCTGTTGAGTGCCCAGCTCCATTCAGCAGACAGCTACGACTCCAACCCAACGTGGCATTGTTGCTCCCTTCCCATGTGCCACTGGTTTCTGTATGCTTTAGGAGTCTGTAGAGTGAAAACAAATACTTTGGGATGTTCACCTGCAGAAAACTGTGTTTGACAGGTTGCTTGTCTGATCTGATGGGTTTTATGGTGATTGTTGAACCTTGGCTGCCAAGGTGCTTTGATGAAGACAAACAGGAAGGGAAGACAGACAGACAGGCATTCTTGTGACACATCATCACTTCCCAGCTTAGATATCTTAATTCTGCCAAATTATGTACTAGTGTAAAAGGTTTTATTGAAGACTAGCAGGAAATATATAGTTTCTGGCTATAAGCTCTAATTCACATCTGTCTCTTCCACCTCTGGCATTGCCTTCAGGATACACCCGGAGAATAATTGCTTATGACACAAAAGGCAACAAGTTTGTTAAATGTGCAGACATGAAGGACAGACGAATGCACCATGGGGCCACTGTCATCAAGAACAAGCTGTATGTCACAGGAGGACGATGTCTCACTGCGGACAATGTCATCGAGGACTTGGATTCCTTGGACTGCTATGATCCAGAGACTGACACATGGACACCAAAGGGAAAACTGCCGCACAAACTCTTTGACCATGGGTGCCTTACACTCCAGTGTGTCCCCCGTTCTAACCTTCTCTAAGCAACCTGTGATACTTCCCAGGACACTTTGTGCTTTCCTGCACAGAAAGGACCTGCTTTCCTCTGCAGAGAGCACATGGGGAATCCTCATGGGGTCCCACAAACTCCTGACCTGGAAGGCACTGGTGGCAATTAGTCATTCCCTAAACACTCTGCCAGAAAGGTCATGAGCCTTGTGCTCATGCTGTATTCACCTGACTGGTGCATGTGGTGCTGCTAAATCCAGACCAGGCACCTCACCTAGAATCTCAGCAGAAAACAGGGAAAAGATACTGGGTAAGAACCTGGCACAGGATTTGGCCTCGTGCAGACTTTAAAATGAGAGGTGAATAGGAATGCTGACATCTCCAGTGGAAGTAAGATCTGGGTAACCTGCATTTGCTAGCAAGCAAACTCAGCTGCACGGTGCAGCCCTTTGCTGCTCAGTGCTGACCAAGCCTTCCATTTCCAGTGGTGGGAGCATTTAGAATAGGAAGCCCCAAGCTCTAGTCTTGTATCCAGCCCAGCAGCAGCTGCCTGCATTAGCTACAGTAGTCATCTCCTCAGGAATAAAATATGAATGTTCCTAACATCAAATGAGAAATTAGCAAAAGGCTGATGCTTTGATCTGAATTCTAACACTGTGACAAGATGCAGATTTGACTTTTTGAGCTACTGCTCTTTCAACAGTGCAGGGAAGACTTTTGTTCCAACTCTGAAGGAGCGGGAGAAGGTGGGATGGAAATGAAGATGTTCTGCATCTTCTTTTTCAAGGGATCTTGTTTTGCAGGGATTTTTCTTCTCCTTTTGCATCAAACATAAAAGTGGGGTTAGTTAGGAAGCTTTTCGGCTGATGGAATTCCTGAAAACTGGAGTAGCAGAGAGGACACATAGGGGAAAGGGGATGTAAAAGAGAAGAGGTATTGGGGAGGAACGTTTTCTTTTTCCCTTTCTCCTCTCTCCAAACCGCTGGAAAGCAATGATGAGAGAAAGCCAGTGACAGGAAACCAGCTTTCCAAGAAGAGCAAGCCTAAGTCTGCCACTTGGCAAAGCAGCTCTGGCTCCACCAATATTTTTATGGGGTTCTGCCACTAAGTGCATATTTTTAAAGGGAGGGGATTAATCATCAGATACTGAACAGGCTGCGAACTGCTGTCTGGTCACCAGGCTTGGTAAGATTGCTGAGATAGCAAGGAGCTCTAAAGATTGCACTGATGACCACCATCTGGAGAAAAGATGGCAGAAGTAACACTCTTTTTCCCCCTCATATGTCAAAGATAGTGGGACTTTTCAAAGGGTACAAGTTGGCATGAGGAAACCATGCTCAACCTTCCTCTTCACTGAAGGCTGCACAGCCATGTGGTCACCACCATGTTGCAGGACACCAACTCCAACCACGAAGATCCCCCCCCCAAAAGTGTATCTGGGAGCAGAAGGATGACAGAAATAGTTAATGAAGTGTGGGGCTGGAAGGAAGTGCTGCATATCAACTGCTGGTTTAACAATGCAAAATAAAATGGTTATTATTGTTTATATGAGGTTTGTGTTCAGGAGTCTTCATTGTTCCCTCTGCATTGTTGATAAAGGGAATTGTTTTTGTACCAGTGGTTTTTGCCAGGGTTTCCTTCTAAGGATCTGAGTAAACCTGCAAAATATGAGTGTAAACCCAAACTCATCTCCCAGCTCGGAAGCCTTTGGCTGTGTTTCTTCTCTGTCTTTCAGTCTATATCATCATCCCCTCCCTGTGCAAAGCAAGGCTAAACCATGGCACTTGCCAGATTGGATGGAGCAGTGATTCATTCTGCTTCCTCACAGACCAGCTCTGGCTTTCTGGAGAAAGAAGCCTTGTCATGGCCAATTATGGAAAGTCTGCCCTGGGGAGATGTTTATTCCTAACCCTGCAGTGCTGCCTTCCCAAACTCCTTCCTGTTGTGACCCCACTCAGCTCCAAAACTCCAGGAGACGCCAGTTGCTGCCATGCATTTTAGCTGACACAGATTCCTGCCAGGCTCGTGACTGTACCCAGAACTGAGAGAAAAGAGCTGACTTGGGGCTGTAACACCATGTTTGCAAACTACTGCCACAGTCATTGGTTTATGCTTGGAAGCAAACAGATTTTTTTAATTCCCATATCATATAACTAGTGATTTTCTCAGCATTCATGCTCCAACCAAATAGTACCTTGCACAGCTGTAGCTGGACAGAAAATGGGGAGCACAAAGAGAGGCACAGTTGAAACAGCGCTGAGTAAAGCATTCTTCCCCTGGCCCTCGGGGAACCCTCATGTCACCCCCAAGTCATTGAAGATGCCAAGGGCTATGGCCAGCTCTGCTTTGGCTGCAACCCTGTGCTCCTTCCCTTCTCAAACTCCTTGCCTCGTGCCCATAATTCAAAGAATTTGGGTTCACGGGGCAGTAAATACAAAGCCTGGTTTCTGACAGACTTCTGCCCCTTGGTCAATCTGATGCAAACTATAACCAAAGCTTTTGGGCACCTTTGCAAAAAGGGTTGAAAGCAGGGAACAGTGTTGAGCCTTACCGAGGCAGATGAGGGCTGGCAGGGTCACTTTGGTCACAGTGATGCAGCTTCAGGGCAGGCGATATGCAGGCCTGGGACAGACACTATGGAGAGAAGGGATGCTGCCTCCCTAATCAGGTGCTGGCCACCACCCAGCCCACCTAGAGCAATACCTATTACCACCCCAAGTGTTTTGCAGTTGTCATATCTAGTGGTGTTACAGGTAAAAGCACTTCTATCAAAGGCTGACCAAGGTACCCCTTTCTCCACTGTCAGTAGGGGACTTTCCTGAGCAGGATCTGCAAGGCCACCACTACCTGGAACATTTTCTGAGTCACCACATGCTTTTCCAGATGTCTCATCATCCTAATATTCAAGCTTTGGATTTCACAGATACAATGGCAGCCCCATGAAGAGGTGGGAATTTGTTGCACTTTATTTAATAACCCTGGAGACCAGGGACAAGAGGGGTTTAAGAAAGGGTCATTGATTTGGGGGTCACCTTTTAGAAAGGCTGAGCACCTGCTGCTGTTTTTTTTTCACATCAGGGAGTGCTGTGAAGGATCATCACTTCTAAGGTCTTGTTCTTGGGTGTCCCAAGACAGTCACTGCATCATGGAAAGCACAGGACCACATGGCTGCAAGCAGCCTGCCCCATGGGACAGCATGTCACCCTCACGGCAAGTACTTGTCCAACACATTGAAAATCTCCCGTGAGATTTTCACTTTGTTCCATCCCTAAGTAACCCACGTGAGTGCCTTATTAACCTCACAGGTTTTAATACCATCTATCCTAAATCTTCCTTGCTGTACCTTCTGCCATCCCCACAGAGATAAGAGGCAAACAATTACACTTGTTTGATACCATATATTTTTTTACATTTTTAAAGTTTATTGGGATGTTTTGAATTCTGTAGACTAAACAAACCCAGCCCTTTCAATATTTCCTCATAAGTCATGTTTTCTAGACCTCTGATCATTTTTGTTGCTTTCCTCTGGACAATTTCCAGTTTGTCTGTTTTGGTTTTAGTTTATTTAAGTGCAGGGCCATGGCTCAGCCTCACAGTGCTGAGAAGGGCAAGAAACCCCTTCTGCATCTTACCTACAGCACTTCTGGTCTCACAACCCAGAAGGACTTCTGGTTTTCACAGCAGATTACTGCCGTGGGTTCCACTGTGCTCGTGATTAACAAATGCTTGCAAGTTTGGGCAGGGTCACATGGAAAGACTGCAGGAGATCCAGGATCTCCCAGGGTTATTCCATAACTCTATCTTTGCTTCAGCTCACCAGGATCCTGAACCAGATCCCACCGAAAACAATAAGTCTCTCCATGGGCTTCAGCAAGGGGCTTTGGAGCAGGTCCTAATTGTTGTGTTCTCAGCTGGGTTCTTCACTAATTCTATTAATTTTAACAGCAAATATTTAATGTTTGAGTCATTTTTTATAATGGGGAAAGTTTCATGCAAAAAAAAGAAAAGAAAAGGAGGACATTGCTTTTTCTTTTTAACTTTCTTCCACTTCCCCCAGTGCAAACTCAGAGCTGATTTTAACAGCAAATATTTAATGTTTGAGTCATTTTTTATAATGGGGAAAGTTTCATGCAAAAAAAAGAAAAGAAAAGGAGGACATTGCTTTTTCTTTTTAACTTTCTTCCACTTCCCCCAGTGCAATCCTGCTGCACAGGCAGCCCATGGTGGCAGGCAGCTCTGCTTTGATCTCAGCAAAGAACTCGGTAGGTTAAGCCTGTGTTTTTTCACTGGAACCATTTATCAAACAATACAGTCCTCTCCGAGGGCAGCCTTCTTCTTGTGCAGTAACATGTTTATAATTACAATGCATTTCCTGCTTCTTCTTGATTAAACACACCTGACAAAGTAGGGAAGATGTCAATGCATAAACAAACGAGCACCGTGAGTTCATCGCTTTGTCAGTCCCTTTTCTTTCCAAACGCCAAGGAGTTCACTGCAGGGTGAATCCTCTACTTGAGAAGGAAACAATGGGGAGAGTATATATGAATAGTGTACAGGGTAATTTATCCCCGGCATTGCTCCTTAGCCTGACCTGAGAGACATTAATAATTGAGAGCAGCAAAACCAATCCCTTCTTAAAAACATAAACATCTATACTATTTTCCAGCTGCTTGAAAGCTCCCACACAAAGTTAAAAAGTCATATTCTCCGTGGCACAAATGGGCATGGATTCCTTGGTGCAGTCTAAAGGAGCCAAGACCTGCTCATTAGTGAAGTGCTAACAGTGATTGCAGCAGCTATTTTGGATGAATTTGCCCAGGGTCCAAACAGGGCATGGTGCCTATGGACAAACCGGTGTCTCAGGCTGCCGTTGCAATCGAGTGAAAAGGGCTTCTCCAGGTTTGTGCTGGAGCACTGAGAGACTGATCTGGCCCCTTGTGTTTATTGAAGTTTCCAAAATAGTAGCAGAGTATTGAGGAGCCCAACTGCTCTGTCACTCGGCACAGCACCCACCGGCACCAGCTGCCGCTTGTCA